CATTTGCTTACACAACAATATTACATGACAGTTTCAGAAGAGCAATATTAATACTAGCAACAACAATATGATTAGTGAAGGCAGTATATGTTATTTTTTACAATTATTTTTGTCTTAGGAGCTATCCTACTTGGGAGGTAAACCAAACTTTTATTTTTTTTTAAATAAATTAAATAATGCAACTCTGAATAGCTACAGAAGGTTTATTCGCTTCTTTCTTTCCACTCTGGTTTTCTGTTCCTAGAGTGAACACTCCTTTTAGATAAAAGCTATGTGCCACACACTTGCCCCTACCTTGCTTTTTCCCATATATGTACCCTTAAGATCACTTTGTCATGGTATATAGAGGCTCCCCTGTTTCCTTGAATAACTATATAGCACCCCATTGTATGGATACACTAAAACTTAGTAAGATAGCCTCTTCATGGACATTTGGGTTGTTTTGTGTTTTGCTGTACTAGAATGTACTGTAATAAAGAGCTTTGTGCATGCAGCTTTATCATTCTGCTGGTGAATATTTAGGCCAGAAATCTACCAGTATGATTTCATGGTCAATAACTTTTAATGTTATTTTGTTCACACAGTTATTTTTAACCTAGACTATTTCTTTAGCCTCCATCTCATTGTATAGCACTTACCACACTTACGTCAATATTTTGCATCTGAAATACAAATCTGATCATTTTATCCCTTTGCTTTTAGACTTTCATAATTGCTCCATCTCTGTGAGATGGTGACGAAACTGTTGCGTAAGAGAGTCCGTAACCATCTCTGGCTTTGCTTGCTAGCCTCAGTTGTAGCACTTCCCTCATACAAACTTAACTCCAGTTTTACCAAACTTCTAGAAGCTTCCCAAAGACCTACGCCCTCTCATGTTTTACACATATCTTTCTCTACCTCATAATCTCTATACACTCATAAAAATGTAGTTCAAATTTTGTCTCTGTGAGTTCTTCCTGAATTTCCTCAAAAATCAGAAAAATCCTACTTTGCTCAGATGGTACTCTGTGCCTCCTTCTATTGGAACCTTGATCACCTTTTTTTGGCAACTGTTTATTAAAAAGACTTTTCTATGATGTGCCAGAGCTGTGCTGGAAGATTACATATGTATTCTATCAGAGCAGCAAGGTCAAGTAACACAGCCAGAGGTCAGCGCCTCTATAATCTGAACCCAGTTGCTATTATTCCAAAAACTTGAGGCCTTTGAAGTTGATCACACTACTTTTCTAAACGTTGCGGATTCTTCCAGTTTACTTTTCAGCTTCCATACCCCTCATTGCACCTTAATCTCGTTAACTCAGCAGATTTTAATAAAGACAGCATGGTGTCTGAAATCAAACAGATCTGAGATTTATTCCTACCTCTTGGCTTTAACATTTACTAATAATAAAACCTTGAGCAAGAATTTTAACCTTTGGATGCATTTCCTAATCAGCATAATCATACCTACATTTTTCTGTAGATCAAGTGACATATGTAAGGCCTTCGTGTAATTCTTGGCACATGAATGAGGGTTCGTACACATCAAGGGTCTTCTAATAATAACAGGGATTTTGCTTTGTCACCTTCACTAGTATGAAGCACTTAAACAGCAAACAAATATGGTAGGTTGTCAGAATATTACTACCTGTGTGTGAATAATTTGATAAATAAATATTTCCTAACACCCTTGCTCTTCCTCCGAAGTTCCTTTTCCTAATTGAAGATATCATTGCCCTTCTAATCACGGCAGCTTCTATTCAGAAAGCTCAGGTTTCAAATTTGGAGATATCTCTGACCCTAAATAAGGCCACATTTCCCAGGCCTCCCGGTCAGCTGGTGAGTGTGCCTGCCAGTTCTGTCTCAGTAATGACTCTCCCAGCTCCTTTATCCTGCTTCTTCTCTGGGTCCTGCTCCAGTCCACTCCCATATCACCTGCCGTTCTGAAAGGTCACAGTCTAAGCTAATTTAGGCTCCTGCCTTTCCTGGCCCCTCAACCCCACTATCAAAAAAATGTTCCTCTTTTAAAAGTGTTCTACCTGATTATGCTATATCCTCTCAAATATATATGACAGCTCCCAACAACATATGGTTCAATATCCTGCGCATTTCATTCAAGTTACTTCATAAATGGCCTGAGCTGACTTTCTGTTCTTATCATCCTCTCCACATTCAAGTTTGCACCCTGGAACAGGTCAGCAACATGCACTTTATACCTTCAGGTCCTTGGACACCATTTTTCTACCTAGAAAGCTATACCTATTATCTATCTATCATCTATCTATCTAATCTACCTACTTATCTATCCATCTATCATCTATCTATCTATCTATCTATCTATCTATCTATCTATCTATCTATCATCTAATCTATCTATTTATCTATCTATCTATCATCTATCTATTTATCTATCTATCATCTATCTAATCTATCATCTACCTATCTATCTATCTATCTATCTATCTATCTATCTACCTATCTGTCATCTATTTATCATCATCATTTATCTCTTTTCTGCTCTGAGGCACTCCATGTGCTGTCCCTCCTCTGCTCCTGGACAGTGATTTATCAGCTTTACGCAACCACATTCTGCTATGCTATGTGAGTGTTTTGAGTATGGGGCTGTGGCGTGTACCTCTGTGGAATCCTTCCCCAAAGCAAAACTGCCGAATGCTGGCTGAATTAATTTTACAGGGTCATAGGTCTGGGGAGGTGTAAGGAATCTTAGACCTCTTCTAATATGATCATTTCATGTAATACATTAGTAATTTGCAGTTCAGAAAATTGGGAAATATTATTTAGAATAACACACGAGCAATAAAATCAAACATATTAGTAATGAGCTTTTGAATTTTTATACTGATGTTGCAGGATCTTTTACCTCTACCTTCACAAATGCTCCAAGGAGAGGCTCAGGAATTGTTTTCTATATGTAAATTCACACTTGGGGGCAATAGGAGGTATATCACAAGTCATATTTATAGAATGGTTCCAAGGACATACACTCAGGATTAAAAGTTCAGGTGCTGGCTCTGCCATTACTGGCCACAGTTTTATTCTTCCCTGTGTGTTTTTTTTTTTTTTTCTTCAGCAACGTTGATTATCTCTGTTATTTATGAATGCATACAATCTACCCCACCCTCCATTTGCCTTTCTTTCCAAACCAACTCTCAAACGCTGTCTTTTTTGGTGTATGTTAGGGACAGGTATGACATGAGGAGATTTCTATAGAGATAAAGCTAGAGATATATTATTCAAAGAAAGATAACTTAGATTCATAAACTAAAATAGAGGTTTTAATTAAATGGAATAATAGAAATTTTAAAAATGAGGTTACTATCTTGGAAAAGTACAGTTGTGTCATCTGTGGTCATATTAGCTGAGGTGTCCTCTTGACAGTTAGTTGAAAAATATAACTTATCTTATTTGTATCGATGGTGGCATTACATCACATGAAAGCTCAAATCTTTCAACTTAGAGGAGAATAAAAGGTGATAATTATCTCTGCATCAGGAGAGCTTCACTCATTGCCCAACTAGGTGATGATTTCACTAATTTGGTGGGTTTTGCAATTTTAATTTAACTGAAATTCAACTTGAATTGTATGTGGCCTATTTTATTTTATTATCTTATACGAGAAATAGAATGTTTACAGCCTTGTTGTTTACACTGAATGAAAAGAGAAAAAGAAAACATTTCTAATCCCATTTAACTTACAAGACTAAATCTTTATAAACTGAAATGACAAAAGTATGTTTTATGCAACGCATTACTTACAATTAGGTGTTTTGGTTTTTTTTTTGTCATAACAATCTGTTGTGAAGTGTAACGGGAAAGTGGGTAAATAACAAAAGATGTTATTTTAAGAACAAAATTCCAGAATTTGGGAACCCTCTGAAGGAAAGCACTGGAAAGTTTTAGTGGGGAGTATTAAATATCATCTACAACTACAAATACAGGTGGTCTCTAACAAAGGTAGTACATTTCCAGAAAAGTCTTTACCTGGTCGGGCCCTTGGAATACTTCCATATTAACTGACCCATTCTCCACCTTCCCAAATGTTACATCAGATGGACAGAGGCCCTAGCTGTATTCTCTTTCTAATGATTTATGGGAAGCTCATGTCTGACGAATGTAACCCAACTTTCCAGGCTCTAAAATGCAACCAATGGAACCCAAAGAACTGTGAAGATTCGAACACTCTCTCCCAGTTTGATGAAGTTAAAGGATTGCAGCTACGGATCAAGAGACCTCAAACCACACAGGAACAGAAACTGTCATGGCACCCTGGTTTTGGACTCCATGCAACACCGTCAGGTGCAATGAAATCTGAAAGATGACCCTGGAGAGGATGCGGCACCATCGCTCCAAAACTTCCTAAGATAATGCATATTCTTCCCCTCGGCCAGAACAACTCCAGTCTTCGGGGAGAGTCTGGAGTCGAGGGACCAAGCTGTGTGCATGGAAAATACCCTGTTTTTCTCTCGGACTCCATGCCCACTGTCTCAAGCGCTGGCCTTGCCATCCTCCTCCATCAGCCCCCGAGGTGGGCCACAGCCTAGAGAAAAACGGCCCTCAGGAATGGAGACTGGAGAGAAAGGCGTCTGCAGCTACTTTCCCCACTTGACACCTCACCCTGTCCTCCTTCCTAGTTGCGCTCCGTGTTTCTCCAAAAAGCTTATTACAGGCACCACTCCGTTTTCATTTCTCAGGCTCTGCTTCCCCATCCTGTTCATTACCCAAACTTTGCTATTTCCATGAACTTTTCTTCCTTCCTCTCTTCCCTAGGATGTTGCAAGTTCTCTGGGTCTCTCTCCCTCGCCCGATCTCATCCAGCTCTTCCCTCCTCCCCCGCCCCAGCCCCTGACACCTGCCGGGGCTGCCCTTTAACCTCCCCTCTGCTCCTGTCCCTCCCTGCGCCCCTTCACCCCCTCCGTCCCCGGCGCGGACTCTCCCGGTTGTCGGGCTGTCTGCTGCTGAGAACCCTCTGCGGCAGCGAGGACCGGAGTCCCCGCGCGCAGCCCAGCGGCAGGAGAGGGCGAGGCTGAGCGGAAGCCAGGGCAGGAGGGGAGGGCGGCAGCCGGTCCTCCCCGCGAGCCGGAGAATGCGGCAGGGGGCCGGGGGCCTGGGAGGCACTGACTCCCCGCGCCCCTGACGCGGCCACAGCCCCGGCCCCGGCGCCAGTCTCCCGCCCCGCGCAGCCCCGAGCTGTGCACAGGCGCCCGGAGAGCCGCGAGAGGCGCGCCGGGTGCCCAGCCCCAGAGCAGGTCCCTCTGCGGACCCGGGAAGGAGAGGGGACGGCGCCAGCGAGCGGTGAGGAGACGGGAACCTGTTTCCCGGCGGCGGGGCGCGCGGGAGGCTGGGCGAGCACCGGGGGCGCAGCCCGCGCGGCGGGGGGCGCGGGGGGAGCGGCGCGCGCGGGGAGGGCGGGCGCAGGGCCCGGGGCGGCGCGGGCGGGGACCGAGGCTGGGCGGGCGGGCGGCGCGGCGGCCGCCGGGGTGAGTGCGAGCGCGAGGGGCGAGGGGCGAGCGCGCGCGAGGCCGGGAGAGCGCACGTCTCCTCCCGCCGGCGCCGCGAGCCGCGCCACCACCATCTTCTGCATGTGCCGCCTTTGCAGCCGGACGGCAGCCTCTCCGCGGGCGATGGAGACTGCGGGAAAGCGCTGGCAGCCCGCGATGGACTGCTGACGGGAAGGAGTCCGAGTCAGAAACCACCCAAACCTCTTCTCGCCTTTTTTTTTTTTTTCCTCCTTTTTCTTTTCTTTTTTTTAGTTGCTTTTAATTTTAGCGCCCTCGTCGTCAATGCCTGTCTGAGCAGCCTGGAGGAAGAGTGCGAAAAGAGAGAGCGCGCGCCGAGGAGAGGAGAAAGGAAGATGAGGATTATTTGCAGGCAGCTTGTCTTGTTATTTTCTGGATTCTGGGGACTCGCCATGGGAGCCTTTCCGAGCAGCGTGCAAATAGGTGAGCTCAGCCCCGAGGGGGTGTGCAGGCGGGCGGCTGGGGCCGATCTCCCGAAGTGAGTTCCGAGAGTTGCGGATAAGCCATTCGGGGCCACCCTTCCTCGGCCGCCCCCTGCCCCTTTGTTTCTCTCTTTTCTCCCCTTGGCACACAAGGAACGGACCGCCTCTCCAGTGCAGGTTCCTTTGGAAACACACAAAACTGCCCCCTTGCCGGCCTCAGCACAGGCTCCCCTTCTCCACCTTGGGTTCAAGTCGCTTAAGTAGGATGGGAATAAGTTGAAAATGACCTACACGGGGTTTGGTTACATTTTATGTGATGTTTCTTTTCATCCGTTTCTCTAGAGCATGGAGGGATGTCGAGTTTTTGTTTTGTTTTGTTTTGTTTTAATACACTTGTTCCCACGCCCGGCGCCGCAGCCTTCTCCCTATCGTAGAAGGACATTGCTGTGGGGGTCGGGGGAGCGGGGGGAGCTTTACACCTGCACCCCCGGCCTTTGCTTGCCACCGGCAAACCGATTCCAAAGTTAGATCCCTTTCCCGCAATCTTCTCTCCGTGCATTCTGTTTTCCTCTTGAATCTTTTGCCCTTATCCCTGCACCCAGACTATTTCCGGGGAGCTATCCGTCTTTGGCTTTTCTTGCTGTTCTCCTCTCCTGTCTTAATGGGATGCAGCTATTGAATTTCTTCCAGCCAAAGCCCAGCCTCAACACTGCATCATTTCTCGTGGACTGTGCACAAAACGGAGCTAATGAGGCTGAGTCCACCAGCTGCAGGAAAACTAAGTTCATGTCTCCTTCCCGATTCCCCGCGTGCCTGCGTGGCACCACATCCCTTCATGTCTGCATTTTCATGCAAATCCTCCTTTCTGTTCCTCTGCACGCATCTTCCAGAGAAATGCCCGGGGCGGTGTGCTGGGAACCGCGGGGCGGGGGAGAGAGAAAAGGCAAACACAGTAAATGGTCTCAGAGGTCATTGTGATCATGACAGATGGGGACAGGAAACAGCTGAGCTGTCCTGAAGACTAAAATACGGAGCCTGCACCTTAGGGACAAAGGCCAGTCTCCCAAGATGGGGCAGGGGTCGCCCCTGGGATGTGTGTGCTGGGGAATGGCAGTGGATTTGACAGTGTGTGGGGTGAGAATCGCATTGACCAGAGAAAACACTGAATGTGCTTTTCCTGTTATGTTTAATAGGTGGTCTCTTCATCCGAAACACAGACCAGGAGTACACTGCTTTCCGATTAGCGATTTTTCTTCATAACACCAGCCCCAATGCGTCGGAAGCGCCTTTTAATTTGGTACCTCATGTGGACAACATTGAGACAGCCAACAGTTTTGCTGTGACAAATGCTTGTAAGTAAAACATAAATTGTGGATAAATTACAAGGGAATTAGAATGAGGCACGAGAGTGCCTTTCCTCTTTATTATTAATATTAATTTTTAGAAAAAAATTTAAGCTCCCCACACATGGCTGGTTCCAGAGCAAATCAGAGTTAAAAACAAGATTTAGTCCTGAGATATTCAGATGGTTTCTTTCTTTCCCCTTCCTTCCTTCCTTCCTTCCTCCCTTCCTTCTTTCCTTCCTTCCTTCCTTCCTTCCTTCCTTCCTTCCTTCCTTCCTTCCTTCCTTCCTTTCCTTCCTTCCTTTTCCTTTTTTTCGTTTCTCATCTGGATAATTCAAGTTAATTTCTCTTTTAACATTTCAGTCACCTGAAATGTCAAGTCCGTGAAAATCGTACTCAGTCTAATTTGGATTCTGTTCCTTCGGTTTTCCTTATTTGCTTTTCACTTGAGTAAGCGTATGTCTCGCTTTTAAGGTAGACACATGCTCTCGTACACTGATGAAAGCAGTGGAAGGTTTGCCAACAGTGAGAAAGAGAGGGAAGCGGTGGTGTGGAGGACATATATTCTAGCCGGGTGGCTTACGCTGCAGATGATCTGGTGATGTCACTTGAGGCTGTCCCACTCTTATATTCTGGGTTGTAAATGTCTCTTACTGTCACGTAATGCATATATCCTGTGGATATGACTCCATGAATCCTTACCTTGGTGCCAAATCATGTTATTCTCTAATCCACCTGAATTCACAGATCCGTGCAGCTGGACCTATTATCCCACACAATGAAACTTTAGCGGGTGACCTCACCTAATCCTATAAGGAAACAGTTGAACAGTGTTCCCTCCCCCCCAATACTGTCTAACTTAATGTAAAAAAATACAATCAACTGTGGATTACTTGAAAATTCACTAAAGTATGACCAGTCAATATACCATTTATGTTGCATTTTCACTTTTGAAGGAAATACATGTTTCAAATATCTCCTCAGCTTTACATACTAATTTACTACTGCTCAGAATTTACGTGTTAAGATAATTGTTACAGATTACATAAGACATTTAGGAATAGTTTCTACACAAAATTTTGCACAAGAGTAATAAATATTCAATTGTATTGTATTTTATTATAGTAAGTTAAGCATATTTTAATTTTAAAAGCTCTCTCAGTACAAGAAAATGTACCAACTAAATAAGTGAAATTGAAAACAGTTTTTAAGTGTTTGAAGGCTACCTCTTTCATTCTTTATTTTAATTCATATTTATTAATTCATCTAATAATATTATCAATTGTCCTTAATATTTGGCATCTAAACATTATTTTAGAAATTGATTTCAAAAGACTGTCAAAGCATTTGACATTTTTGGAAACTGAAACATGTATTGTTTTGCAGGAATGTTATATTTCCTATGAACACTACTTAATTAAAAAATAACTTGGTATTTAGTGATAAAATCAATATCATATTAGAGCAGGAGGGAGTTATTTTCAAGCATAAATGCACATAAGTTAGAGTTGGTTTTGTGGGTGGTCATTATTGCAAGTTGTTTAAGTTACTAGTTTTGTGTTCCAAGTTTGAAAGGAATGTCAGCATTTCTAATAGTTCTAGTTATAAAACATCCTACTTTGTATGTAAATATTATGTATGTATTTAAAACTTGTTCTAATCTCTCCTGAGATTCTGTGAACAAAATATTACTAACTTTAAAAATAATTTATGATCCAAGTATATGTGAAGGTACTTCATCAACAGTAAATTACTAATTAAAATTTTAATTTTTGCTATTAAATTTTGAAAGACTTTTAAAAAAGTTTCAGATATATTAGTTTTGTTTTGTTTTGTTTTTACAAATTAAGTTCTTAAATATTCTAGAGTTTGGATCCTGACGTTTGGCTATATCAACTGCAAAGTACTAATACTTTCTTCCTCCCTATCATTTGATGATCTCACTCAGGATAATTAAGTGTTACTCTTAAAGTACCTGTAATCATGAGAAATTGATAGGAAGCTGCACACAGAATGAAAATGTTATAAAATATAAATAATATGGTATTCTTTCATGTTTAAGACTGAGAAAATTGAAACTAAGTAAACTTTAAATTTGCTTATTTGGAATACACCTTTAACACAATGTTAGTGATACCATATTTTTCCATAATCACATTAATTGATTTTATGTACATATTTGAAATAATTTAAAAATACAAATTATAATTAAGGACACACAAAAAACATTTTTTAATAAAGAAAATGAATTTTTTGGAGGGGGATGAGTCTGCTGAATGTCCATAAGGCAAACCTAAGCTGAGTTTGGGGAAAAAAATCAATGATCAGAGAGCATGGATCAGGTGACTGTGTTTGAGGAATGGGCTGACCGAGAGGATATACTACATGATTTTTCCAGTTTAATTAATGGTGAAGCATAAGCAATAAGTATGAGGCAAACTTATATATGAAGCTTTATTCCTTTGGGTACAATAGGATAAAAATAATATTCTGAAGAATTACCATAGGAGTTATTCCTCACGGTGATACAGAGTGGAATTTTAAATTTTTCATGCTGGATTAAATATAAAGGTATAATATGTGATTGGTTAAGTTTATTTGAATTCTGATTTTCCTGCAGTGGATTCTTTTAAAACTGCAGGATCTTGTCTGTCTGTGAATAAAGATCATTAAAAAGGGTATGTTTATTTTATGGAATGTATAATCAAACCCCTAAAATATATTAAATAATAAAATTATTGGTCATCTATTAGACAGGTATAATTTAATGTGGGTTCTTCTGCCTGGAAATTAATTTAGCCCTCTAAGATTACTTTGGGCCATCTAAGCATTCTGTGTATCAAGTCTAAGCCTGATTAACTCAAATTCACCACTTTTGGTATAAATCCCAAGTTTGTGATGGAGGAAAAATAATTTTAGTTTTATTTTATTTTTAACAATATTTGTGCAAGATTAAATTCAAGTATTATTTTTCTATTCTAACTATTCACATTGTTGAAAAGTCACCCTTCAATATAAAACTGAAATGATAGGAAATACAGATAATATAAAATTATGACCTATTTTAATAAAAAAATAGGTATAATATATAGATCAAATATTAAAATTTCAAAATTTAGTTAAAGGTACACATTTCTTTGCTGTGATCTATCTAACATATGGGGAATAGAAAAAATGATATTTAAAAAATAATTTCAATATGGCCACTGCTCTTTAATAAAACATTCAACTGACCCAAAATAGCTACCTTTGTAAACAAACATGCTAGTGCAATAGGATATATCCTTTGCAAAATGTTTGAGACAACCTGAACATAGGCTGTTTTCTTATATTTTTCTAATAGTTAATGAATACAGTTTTTTTGAGGATTATGTATATTAAATTTGATGAAAAGTAAAAGCCACAATACTGAAGTAGTTTGTCAACAAGTTTTCTAAAAGATAAAAACACTTGAGAGGTTGAAATTATTGGTTAGTTTAATATAGTTACATTAGAAATCTGTTAAGGAATCAGTCCTTTAAAAAGGCAGTCACTTTACAAAATAAATTGCAGATATTCAGTTTCTGAAATTAGTTATCTAACTTTCAAAGGCGAAATAGAAAATGCATAAAACAGACCAATTACTCATGTATTTTCACTTTGGTGAAATAAATGAATTTTAAGGAATATTTCGATTTTTAAAAACTTAAATAGAAAGGGCCAAATGATCAATAATTTCATTGTTTAATGATACATTTTTCTTTCTTTTCTCTCAAAAATCTGTTAATTCAGTGGTTTAAAAGATTATGGTTGGAAAGTTATAGCAATCACAAATAGACTGAAGACTGGATGCTTTATCCTGGTGATGGTGAAAAGTTGTTCTTTTTTCAAGTTGAATATTAGTTCTGTTTGTGGTCAGTTTACTTGTCAACTCTAAGTATACAAGATGACTGCCACTTATAAAAGTAGGTTGGTTGTAAAATATAGTTGTCTAGTTAATCTAAATACATTGAAAATGTGGCACTGTACCCAGCAGGCTTTGCAGGCTTCCTCACTGTCTTATATACCAGCTACTTAATAAAACCTCCTGGAATATAATGGTAGTAAATACTAATATATTGTCTTTGATTAAAAAAAAAATGTTTAAACATAGTACATGTTCCTTTCAGAGACATGAAGCCATATAAAGACATTATAAGAGTTTACATGGCTGATATAATAATCATGCTGAAAACATGCTGAAAACAAAATTCTGATGGCTTTACCTCCTGCATAGTTGTTAATAAAGGCACATTAGAATTAAATATTGTTGGCTATTGATTATTTTTAAGAAAATAAGTGACATGACTCTTCTGTGATTCTTATTAGGTTTCCTTATTTTTAATTGATGGCAAGATTCTATATTGATTTGAAATAACTTAGTTTTATAAAATTCTTTCTCTCTTCCTCTTAATTTTCCATTGTGAGATTAATGACAAAGATGAGTCATATACCTATGGTTTGTTCCTTTCTAAAATGATAGAATGATGCATAATTTGTCTTGATGTATTTCAGTATTGCCACATGATGAAATCTCCATAAAACCATTACAAGAATTCCTCAAACATTTTTTTTTTTTAATTTGGATTTTTCTAAGTGAGGTTAATTTCCCAAAGAGGAAAATTTTTACTTTCTGATATTAGGAAATATGTATACATCATATTTATAGAATGTTATTATTGTTCAGGAATTTTACATGAAGGATAAATAGACCTTAAATTTTATGATAAGACATAATTTTTAAATGCTTTCATATACCTAATGTTATTTGACTTCAAACTAGTCTTGCAATGGAACAGTCTGAGAAGAGAGTCATATTTTGTAGTACAGCCAGCTTTGGTTCAGGGAGTCATTTAACTTGCCCAGGATTATATGGCTAATAAGCTGCAGAGTCCGGGTTCAAAACCAAGTCTTCTACTATCCTAACACTTCTACCAGCAAGCCATAGGGTGTGAAAAATACATCTATATTGATATTACTTGAATCGAGAA